AAAAAAAAAAAAGAAATATTTTCTCCCAGTCTTTAGTTGGTCTTTTCAAACACTCACTTTTAACAGTGTTTTCACAGAGCAAGTTTTTAATTTCAATGAAACCTTCTTTACCAATTTTTTCTTTTATGGACTTTGCTTTTGGTGTAATATCTAAGAACAAATACCAAGTCATGAAGATTTTTCTCCTGTTTTCCTCTTTGGCCTGTGAAATATTTAGCAATGTGCTATTCAATCTCTGAGTGTTTGGAGATTTTCCTGTAACCTGTTAGTGACTTCTAATTCCCTATGGTCAGAGAATATATATTGCATCATTTCAAACCTTTTAAATTTGTTAAGGTGTATTTTAGTACACAGAATATCATGTCTTAGTGAATATTCCATGTGTACTTGAAAAGAACGTCTGTTCTGCTACTGTTTAGTACTCTATAAAAGAGATATCCAGTTGGTTGATGGTGGTGTTTATGCTTGCTGATTTTCTATAGTTCCGCTGATTACAGAGTTTCTATATATGGAGCATATAGAATTCTGAGTTGACAGTTACTTTAGTTTCAGTACTTTAAGTAATGCATCATTTCTCTCTGGCTACTTTCACGAATTTTTGTTTGTTTTTAGTTTTCAGCAGTTTGATTGATGGGTCAAGATATGCCACCATGCCCAGCTAATATTTCTTCTTTTTTCCCTTTTTGAGAGTGAGTCTGACTCTGTTGCCCTGGGTAGAGTGCCATGGCATTATCATAGCTCACAGCAACCTCAAACTCTGGGAATCAGGTGATGCTCTTGCCTCAGGCTCCCTAGTACCTCCCAAGTGCACACCACCACACTTGGCTAGATTTTCTATTTTTACTAGCGGTGAGGTCTTGCTCTTGCTCAGGCTGGTCTCAATTTCCTGAGCTCAAACACTCCACCTGCCTTGGCCTCCCTGAGTACTAGGATTACAGATGTGAGCCACTGCACCTGGCCCCAGATAATGTTTCTCATAGAGACTTCTAATTACATTATAGTCTTGCTGTATTGCCTATGCTGGTCTTATCTGTTCACATCTCTTAACCTTTTTCTCTCTGTTGTTCAAACTTAGTAATTTCTATTGATCTATTCTCAAATTATTAACCATTTCCTCTGTTAACCACTATTCTGCTATTGAAGTCCATCTGTGAATTTTTAAAATTTTAAGTTACTGTTTTTTTCCATTTGGTTCTTCTATCTTTCTTCTTGAAGCATGATTATAATTGTTGCTTTAAATTTGTCCAAGAATGCTAACATGTATGTCATCTCATGTTGGTGTCCACTGATTCTTTGCCCGCATGACCTTGAATTTTCCTGGTTCTTTATATGAAAGTAATTTTGGATTGCATCCTGAATATCT